GTTTGAGCTGAGGACTCAAATACAATTTCCTGGCCTACCTTTCCTTGCTGCAGAAAAGGGAAACCTTGCTGGTGTGAGGTTGAAAAAGGGAGAGTTCAGGGAAAGATGTAGGAATTGCAATTTACTTGGGACTCTGGGGGTGGGAATTGAAAGACAGAGAAAAGGAAACCAGACATCAGTCCCCCTTCCTGCTAAAATCAACTTTGTTTTCACGATAGGTTTTTGGGCCAATGACCACTTTCAACTCACACCTTCTGTTGGAAAAATAAATTAGGAGTCCAGCTTTATTCTGTCAATAGAAAGTTTAAAGTGGTCACTGGAGCAAAAAGCTTTTCAAAGGGTAGCTGAGCTCAACAAGAACAAGGAGGAGGATGTTGAGAAAGCCACAAAAACACAGGCAGATTACAAACCATTAAAGGCTATGCCATTTTTCAATAATAAAGATAAGGCCTTTAGAACAGTTCTGGTAATTTGTATCTATTTATTTCTTTAGAAGAATATGTATTACTTAAAAAAGACTCTCCCAGAGCTGTAAAAGATATTTTATGTTTGTGTGTGTCGGCCTTGATAAACAAAAGCCACCAGAAAACAGTAAACTAACTAGTCATTTGCTCCCTGAATACATGGGATTATGCTTCGCATTTGTGCTGTAAATCATTGGATCCTGTACAAGTAATTGTACTGCAATGGGTTTTGCTATGCTAAATATTTAAACTGTGTGCCCAGTCCTTCAAAGTCTGAGCTTATTCTGTGTTCAGAGCTTTTTAGATTTGAGTCAATAGCATATTTGTTTTGAATGGCTGCTCCTAGATAACAGTAACAAAAATCCAAAACTTGTTTACATCATTTAACATGCCTAAGAGCTTAGCCTGAGACATTAAAAAAGCCACACAACAAGCAAGCAGAAAAATGCAATCCTTTAGCATAGTCTCTACTGGTGAAAAGAAGTTACACCATCAAAAAGCAAAAAGAATGCTTTGCCAACTCTGACCAAGAATTGCTTTGTTTTTAAAGTGGAGCAATGACTGACACAAGAAGACTTCAAGGAATTTCCTCTTTCCCTGAAGATAGTCATGAGCCTTTCTACTGCCCCAGACTTCGTGTTGTAGTGATTGTAAGGATAGGGGTCTCTTGTGGGTCCTAAGCAGAAGCCCTTGTTTATGAGAGTGTGCAAAATGTGGAAAAGAGTCAAAACAAAGCAAATCAGGCAATTCCGTCAATCCTGGGAAAACTGTTCCCATCTGAGTAGTACCTTCAGCTCTAACAGGCCCTAACATCAGCTGTGCAACAAATAACCCTGCCCTACTTTCTTAACTTGAATTACTATGCTAAGAACAAGACTTCACCAACATGTACACACCAACACTCATGGAGTGCTCTACACATTCTCAAGTTGCATTTGTGGTCTAAATTCTGTAAAGTAAGGTGATATTTATGGGAATAAAGATGAAGCATAATTTCTCATCTGTTTCAAATTACGCATTAGGAATACCAAGGATGTTAGTAAGAAATAGATTAGCATGCAGAAATTTCACAAAGGGAAAAAAAAAGCAGAAATGCCAAAATACAATTACAGCAAAGGAAATAATGCAACCAGGCAATGATTTACCATCCGCACATTTTTAGAATCACAGTTCTAATTGTTAGAATCCAGCGCAGTGTAGTAGACACAGTATTTGAAAAAACAAGCCTTTCATATATCTGTGCTACCTCGAGAGCTCTTGATACCTAATCTGGAAGCAGACAAATCCCAAAAAGGTGCCTCTTTTCCAGTGAAGACGTGACTTCCCCTCCGAGGGCCTGGGGCACTGTGCCTCACATGCTAATAGCTTGAGTTGTGTGCAATAGCCCTATACTGTTTATATAGCACTTCACATGTTCAAAGCACTATGAGATATCGGCCATCACTACACTTTTATGAGGCTGTAAGTATTACCCACTAAACATCAGGGTTCAAATGACTTGCTCTTGATCAAAAGAAACTTCGTGCAGCAGGACCATAATTATTTGAATTTGGTAATTCTCGCAGACCATTCCTATGGCAACACAGAATGAAGAGGGGGATGGGATATCAAAGCCAATTGCTATCACACTCTGTGCTGGCAGTGAGATGGACATGGAGGATCTCTTAAGCTAACCTACACTCACAGCACCTTTTATAGAAAATTCTAGAAAATTATTTTTAAAATAAGGAGCAAAAATGAAACAAAATGTTTTGAAAGCCCACAAGCATGTTTTTCTAAATGTATCTATTTCACATATTCACTGTGAAGAATATAGAAGACAACATGCAAATGGTACTGAAGTACTCCAGAAATCCCAAAAGGGGGTTCCTGAAGCAGTTTAGGAGTTTATATATCAAGAAGATTAGTAGGCAACTTAAAAGCAAATAGGTCCATTTTCTGTGGAAAAAGAACTACAGTCTTGTGTCTTGTGGCTGACTACAGTAGGACTTAACTTCTAAACATATAGAATGTTTTTGCTCTTCATTTTTATACCTATGTTCTTCCTATGAAAATTCAACTATGCTGACATTTATATAGTTTGTCTCAAAGTATCAAGTCTCTGTTCCTGAAAAAGAACACAAACACAAAGGAGACGTTGAAAAACAACCAATGTACCCACAGTATATATGACGACCAAATAAAGGCTTGACATAAATGCTAAACAGGATAGATGCTGAAGATTCTTCTCTTTACAACTGAAATCAATTTATCCAAAAATCCTAACACTGAGATTGAAGACAGAATAAGAAAACTCTTATGCTCTGCCTTTCCATCCTGTCCCCATCCTATCCTACAATACTGTCTTTCCCACCTCTTACACAGCCCTGGTTTCCACACACACCATATGTTTTCAGAGCACAGCTTCACAGTTATTTGCCTTAGAACCTTGCCTGCAGAATCACGTGGGAAATAGATCATACTGCTAAGACAACAATGTAGACCACTACACACAGTCCAGATTCATCAAATAAGAAAAAGGTGCCCGTTTAAAGCTATCACAGGAAGGGGGAGGGAAAGAAACGCTCTTCAAAGGCAGCAATGAGTGCAGAGAGAATTACTAACAGAACCTTTTGTGTTTTAGCCAGGTTGATCATGTTGCTGTGAATATTTACCCTCTCTCTTACAACTTTAACTTGGCATTTTTCAGGTACAGGCTATACAGAATTAACTCTGTGCCAGACGATGCTTGCAATTTCTACTCTTTTGATTAATATTGCCTGAAATGTTCAATTACTGAAATATTTGCTAAAATATTAAAGTTTGACATCAATAGGTGAGCATTACTTCATGGCTATTAATGTAAGAACCAGTTACTATACTCCATCTACTGATCTAAAGAACAGATGCTTGCATCTGATTTATGGACACTGAAATATGTGCATATCTTCCATAAATAGTAATGTGTTCCAGTAACAAAGAGTAGAGAATTGTGATCCATAAGCCTGGGAAGTTGTAGGCAGTATTAGAATTTATTTATCAATTTCTTGGCTTTAAAGAAAAAGCAAATCTCATAGAGCCAGGGCCTGGATCCTGTATGCTGGAAAAGTGCTTACAATGTCAAACAGGACTAACAACATGAAGTAATAAATTGCAGTTGGGCTCAAACAGGCAGATATAAAAGTCCTTTTAGAACATGAGTGTAACTATGATTTGTTAAATAAGAGTAACAATTTATATTGATTAAGATGCAGTAAATCTAAACAGTAAGCAAAAAGCCAATATTACTGTGTGTACTTTCACATTAAATATGGGCTTGGAAGTTTCTTCAGTATCAAGATGTAACAAAATACTAATCAGGTATAATTCTAATGGGTAAAGCATGGTTTTGAGCTCTGCAATTAAATTATTTCTGGAAGCGCAATCAAATATCTGATTGAGCTAATATCACTACTGCTCCTCACATTTGTTCTGTTCCTAAATTAGCTTGACTAATCAGTATCCCACCTCATAGTCTGTGTTGTAAACATGTAATATTAGCTGATAGGTTTCATTTCAAGAGCACAGTCAATTTTTGGACAGCAAACTAACCCAAAAACTTAGTCAAAGCCTACAAACACTCCAAGCAGCATGTTTGGAGATGCCACAGTTTCTGGGCCATCAGAACTCTGATAAGACTGAGTGAACTTCAGATCACTCTGTGATGGCTGTGCACGTTAAAACAAGTTTTGATTTAGTTTAAAAACCAGTTTTGTGGACAATATTTCACCTCAAACCGTTTTCTGTTTTTCCACCCTCTTATTCTATGAGCAAAAACCAGGAATGTACAAAAAAGCAGCCTTGTAGAATACAGAATTTAAACACAGCAATCACAATTTTTTGCTCCTGTCTCAGGTTGGCATGCACTAGTGCTTCAAGATGTTATGCAGCTGCTACTCTTCCACAGAGATGGCTGTACTCCAGAAAATGGTGAAATACTCCCTCAAACTTTTTTTTTATTTCCCCCAGCAGAGGTTAACAGGGATGTTTCCATAGGTCTAAGGCAACATGAAAACATGGTGATTGTGTGGTTGGATTTCTTCGAAAACATTAGCTTTAGATTTACTGCATCAGTAATTAGGAGCTGATGCTACACTCCAACACACTGCAGAAACAACTGCAGTTACTGTCTGTAGAACACTGAGTCTTAGATTACGGTGATTGTTATTTGATTCTGTCCTTGCAGTTTTTTAGATCACAGAAGAAACAAATACTTTTCATTTTGTCCTTTTGATAGCTGCACAGATTTTTTACTTTCAGCATATAACTCAAAGTCATCTAAGAAGAAATTGAATTTCTAATAACTACAGTCAACTGGATTTAACTCCTTTCAGTGGAAGCACAGCAGTGTCAATACTTACTGAGATTTAGTATTACTGCTGATTTATTGAAAGTAAAATGTCAATACAACGTGAAAATTTGTCATTTTACAAAGGTTTAATAAAAAAGATGAACACAACACAAAAAATTGAAAATAGAAGAACCAATAACTGATCATTCTAATTCACTTTTTTCCAGATGAGCATCCAGGTGTCAGCTGGTGTAAACCCAGATGCCACTGACGTCAATGGAGCTGTCAGTTTACTCCAGCTGAAAATCTGATCCCAAGTGTGCTACTGCCATTTTTAGACGCTGCCAATGGAATTAACTTTTCAAGACAATTAAAAAAAACCACATCCACACAACATTGCATTTCTTCCTGTCCCCGAGTGTTTAACTGGAAGTCTGTTGACAGACTGTGGGAGAGGGCAAGTGGGAGGTGGAAGTAGCGAACAACTGCATCCATGAGATAACTTTGCAGTATCAGTATGAACACTGTTCCGTTGTCTTCCTTTATACAAACAAATATTTGGCTTCAAAAAGTTTTAACTCCACCTACCACTAACAAACAACTCCATGTCAGCAAAAGAAAAATGATGCTGTAAACCACGTGAAGTACCTACCTCATAAATTTGCTAACATAGTATTTTCAGCAGTACACATTCTGGATAGATTGTTTTAATGCAATATTAGAAAAAAGTACCTAAAGCTACAAGTGCCCCAAGGCTGAGTTCTGTGTATTCACCTAAGTATTTGTTCCTAAGCAATCTCCCTGCTGTACCAGCAGAAAGATTGGTAACAGTTCTAAGGCAGCTGTTTGAAGTGGCCTGCAAGCCGGAATTTGATCTGGCTGACATCTTTCATATCTCATCGAGCATATGTGTGGGCAAGAGAGGAGGAAGAAAGGAAAAGGTGGGGCAATAAGCAGGGCAGAGTACTACTTGACAGCGCCACCATTTCTAAGCAGGAAGAGGGAGCTTTTGCCTCTGTTTCACATAAGGCCGTTGTTAACATGAGTGCATTGTACAACAGCTTCCCAGTATTAACCACTACAATGAAGCTGGAATGTTGGTCTTTTGATTCAACACAGCAAGGTCAAAATGGAAAAGGTAATTAATTAGAACTGAAGATGCAGTTGACATAGCATTGAAATAATTGCCTATTTGTGCAAGCACAACAACCATATCTTCAATTTAGGTCAGGCCATCAAGAGGAGGAAAAGGACTGAAGACTGAAGATGAGATGCTCTACTTCACACAGTTGCCCTCTGGAAGGACTTGCAAAGGCAGTCACTTAAATTAAGTACAGGTCATCAGACAAGATATCTAATCTATTCCTAAGACAGGCAGCTCCAGCAGTCCAAATCCCTATGGCCTTTGCAGCAACACGATGAACTACTTCCTCATGTACCTCTGTCAATTCACGTTAGGTTGCAGTTTTTTTAAAGCGATATTTCATGTACATCATGACCCTATTGCTCAAAGCAAGGAAAGTGCTTTGGTTTATTTATGACCTACTAACCTTAAATTAAAAAAAAAATACATCCAATCTGAATGCTCACATAAGCCTGCAGATCTGAAATAAAATTTAAAATAAAGCTGGCATTTGTAACAGCTAGCTAAGCCCAATAAGGGATTTAAAAAAAAAAAAATAAACCAGATGAAAGAAGATGAAAGCATATTTACCCTGCATAACCTGCACACATCAGGAATCAGGGCTGGAACCCAGAAATACCTTTCCTGCTTAGAAGTTTCAGCCCATTTCCCAGGCTAGGTGACCAAGGAAATACTGATGCTTTCCATGATGGGGGGGTGGGGAGGCATTAGTAACAACCTGTGAAAGTAATTCCTTCGAAGATGTAATCCACCCAGCCACCAACTCTCCTCTCCTTCCCTCTGCACCCCATCCCCATTGCCAGATACCAGCCAGGCAAGGCCCCACACTGAAATATGAAGTGACAGATGGAAGCAGGGAATAAGGGCATAGGAATGAGTACTGAAAGAAATGGCGTACAGAAAACAAGCTTATAATAGGGCAGATCTTAAACATGAGCAACCTAAACCATAAAGTTAATTCATTTGACTAGAACAATGTTGAACAGATGCACATAAGACTGAGTTGGAGAGCCTTATTCTCTCATCATTCACGCCAGTGTGCAGAGGTCTTCTCCTAACATCCATGGAATTAAACCTTGGAAATTGCAGTACAAATAAATGGAGAAATAAAAATAATCACAGCTAAAGTATTGGCAGCAAATATCCTGTGCTGCTGTATTGGGAAAGAAAGGTGGGCTGCCACATTTAATTAAAATGTATTTGATTTAGCTATATTCATAATCAAAGTGACCTTCATAAACAAAACACATCTAATCCACCTTAATAGTTGATTCTGTTCCTGTCTACTTTCCAGTAGGCTATATTAATGACTTTTATTTTCATTGTAACAGATGGAAAATACATTTGAGTTAAATTATGCAACAAATACCTCTACAGAGAGCAACTAGTTGAAAGAAACAGTTAGGACCAAGTCCTTGTCATAGTGTTTGTTTACAAAATAGGCTCAGGCAGCACACTGATGGTCTTTAGTGTGGGTTCCCTTAACACAAGTACAGACAAACCCTCAAACATTTTTAATGCCTTATAAATAACAATGGATGGAAGAGAGAGAGTAGAAGGCACCTCTAATCAAAGGATAAGGTAAACAAAAAACAGCAATTCACATAAGTCAATGAATCAGTCACATAATGTCAGCACACTGAAGAGTGGACCTAGCAGAAAAAAATTCTGACAAGCTGAGCTTCAAGAACATCTGCATCAGAACTCTGCTCACAAATGAAAATAAGGTAAAATTTCTGTATTGTAATGTTTTGGCTTCTTATCCAGCATCTAAAACTCTTCTGCAACACAAAACCTACAACCTTAATTTTTAAGTATTATTTATTTTTATTAATAATTGGGACAAGTGAGTTGGAAAGCTCAGAAGATGAAGAAAAAGTGCTGTGTTACTGTGGAAATTTTTAAGAATAAGGACTTTGCTGTGTGGTGATCAGCTGGATGTGCACAACATGCTGACACAAAAGAAATTAAAATAAATATAGGTCAAGCCTTGATATACAGTCACCTTTTTTCCTCCTGAAAACTATCACAACAGGTTCTGCATGTGTGAAAATTTGTAAGGAAAAAAAGGCCTTCTCTCTCTGAGAATTCTTTTGAAAAATTAAGCCTTCTTTAAAGAAAATTTATTTTTCATCAATCTTAAACAAATTTTAATCCAATTGAACCATGTCAATAGAAGAAATTTTGCTCAGTTGAGCAATCTCTAATTGGCAACACTAATTTGTAAAACTCTTAGCCAGCTCTGTTCATTTATGGGATCTCATGTTTTGTTTTACTGTGAAGTTCAGTCTTGTGAAATACCAGACAACATTAATCCACTCGTGCCTGGATCTCTAACCTTTATTTTTAAAGCCTGAGTAACAGAAACATATTTTCTTTTCATAGAAAGAAGCCTGGGAAACTGCCAGCTCCTTGCAGAAAGACGGAAACATGATCAGCAGAGAAGGGTGTTTGTTTCGGTAAGAGAAAAATGATTGAAGTTGCATCATCTGTAAAATTAAAATCACTGCGCGAATTTTGATTTTCCCCACCTACTTTCAGACATTTGAGGATGCAGTCAAGTCAATGGAGTTCTGTTGTAGTGGTTGCTTCAGTGAACATTCAACGCTGTCGGTGAGTTTGGAATTAAAGTGAAAACCATCGACCGTTGATTGTACCCTCCAGCTAACCATCCTCCTCCTTACTTCATGCTTTCAGGCCTTAACACCGAAGATAGCAACCTAACCATCATATGATGTTTCTCCCTCACCCTGCCAAGCTTTACAAAAAGGTCACAATCAACATTCATTGCTGTCGGTGGGTTTAACTATGTGGACAAGCTCACTGAACAATGAATGCAACTGTGGCCCCACATTGTACAGTTGCTGTTGAGAGGAGCAGCAGCTCTGAAGGAAATAGTGAGAAGCAAACACTTCTTAGAAGCTACAGTTGTCTGGTCAGAAAAATTGTTTGGGGTATTCACTTTTTGCTTGCTTGGTTTTGAGTCTATTTAATTTAGCAGACTAGGAAAAAAAAAAACCCACCACCTTTTTCTGGAGTATTGTCCTCACAGGGTTCAGTACCATTGAAAATGTGAAAATTCTTATTTACTGTGTGTGCAGAAAAAATAACAGGACAAGAAGCTCTGTATATTCACTCCTAAGGATTCTGGCATAAGAGGAAAGAAGATTTAATTGCCATTTAAGTAGGCATTGTTGAAGAATTCAAAAGTTTATTCTATACTTGTAATGACAAATATAACTGGGAACAAATGGGATTTAAGAGTTATGGATAAAAATCTTATATAAAAAATTAATTTTACATTAAACTGATTTTAAGAACACAAATACTATTGCATTTGCTATTTTTAGGGATCTGAAAGATGGTAAAGAAATGTATATCCAGAAATAATAATGGAAAAGCTGTTAAATTTTAAAGTTACTGTAAACTGAGTACCTATGTCACACTCTGAGTTTTGCAGTAAGAAAATAAATGGTAAATAAGCTCACAATTGTGTCCGTATTTCTTTGTAACCCTTTATTAACCTGGTCAGCCACAAAAAAGGACCAGTCGGCATTTCTCGCTTCACACAATCATCCAAGGTAAGTGCAGCCTTTAGACTCAGTGCTACTCAAATACTCTGCAGCAGGAATTGCTTACAAAATCAGGAAAACTCACAGCATATCATCATATCACTCATATCATTCTTCTCATTATGGGAATGTTTATAAACAGTACTTTAGTCTGATTATTTACAAAGTTTCCTCAGCATATTAGTCACACAAGTAATGTCGTGTACTGAGCTTGCTTGGTTTATCCCTGTTTCACTGTGTAGGAACTGAACAGCAGAAAAGTGTCAAGGCTATCATGGGACAACACACCTATAGTCATTTCTTGAACTGGGACAATACATCTACAGTCATTTCTTGAACTGTTATCAACTTAATTAAATGGTAGGAATGCATTTCAATCATGAAAGAGATCAGTCCTCTGTCACGTGTGAAACTAATATTTACAGACTCCTCCAGTTCCTCAAAAAACATAACCACACTAGCAAAATAAGTTCTGAAATTATTTGGGCATTATTTAAAATTAGTGTTTGGGAAGATTATATTTTTTTCGTTCCAATATTCACTGGAGAAGAACCCACATGCTGTGTTGCTCATTGGATACTATCATGGTCAGAGACAGAAGAGCACAGTATTAAAAGGAAGAGTTGCTATGGATAAATGATTTCTCAGCAACGCTGTTCAGAGATAAGCCTGTATCTTTATGTTTACCCATTTCCACAAAAATGGGAATTTGAATTACTACAGACTTACATACTGGAGGGAGATAAAGATCACATTAAAAGCAAGGCTCAGAGGTATATGTTCTGTCTAGAAGGAGAAAATTTCAAATTAAATTGTAACTAGTATATTTTTGCTACAAAACAAAGTTCTTTACTGAAACTTAAAAACCAGCTCTTCATTTTGCAAAACACTTATTAATGCTAGTTATAGATGTGTTATGTGCCTTTAAAAGAGAAAATACTTATCGAAACAGAAGAATCTGGAATTTCTCAACACTGGGAAGAACTAATGTCCTGGAACATGAGTGGTTTCTGTATATATGTTTTCTCTGCTAACTGATAATGCCTGAATGGTTAGCATTGAGGAGGGACAGACTCCACTGCAAGAAAAAGATAATGTTACACCCTTTTTTAAGGCAGTACTTGTCCTCAAAAATGCACATCTCTCCTGATTTCTATTATCATTTTGTTCCATACACTCACTAATGGAATAACAGCTATTCCTACCTACCAAGTCAGGGTGCAGAAACCTCAGCCAGCATTGACCTAGGCACAGATAGTCTAGCCTCATTACAAATATAAAATATTTCCACCTCAACTGCAAGTTTTTACTGATTTCTGAAGAGAAGAATTTGTAGGACTTGTCTTTTTAATGGTGCCTAGCATGGGAATTTATCAGTGACTTTAGTTACACCATGTTTTCATACAGAAATAGAAAAATGTCTCCTTAATGCACAGATATGTAGTACTTCATACAACTTGAAATCAACCTCTACAGACGAGTTATTTCATAATATTTTTTTGGAAAACAATACCATTATTCCATACCCCACAAGAAATGTTGGCCTGTGCATGTGTTTCCTTATGCTGTAAAGCCACAGAACAATCCCAATTTGGCAATGATAACTGTGATATACTGTGGAAAGGTTTCATGGTAATTTTCATGGGTTTTGTTAATAACATACATATGTACTCAGTATAATGCCCACAGGCCATAGAAACATTCTAGAAAATTGCTCCTCATTGTCATTGTAAATAATTCACTCACAGCAATATTTTTAGGTCAAGCATATCAAAGTTGCAGTAAATGCAATGGACCTTGACATAATAGGAGCACTGCTTTTACAGCAGTGGAGGAAGAGGAGAGGGAATGCACTTCCCATCCATGAGAGATCAGTTGCTGCTCCCCAGTGTGCCCATCACCGTGCTTGAGGACAGCAGAAGTGGTACTAAGGGTTTGTTATGAGGTTTGGAGTTGTTGGGGTTTTTATGGTTGGTTTTTGGGGTTTTTTTGTTGGTTTTAATTACCTCTAAGTTCTTTTTTTCTCCCTGGCTTCTGGCACAAGATGATTTAAAACATCCAACCCAACAGCTTCTGTATCAATTCTATAACTTCTGCTTAGCAAGTACAGAAACACACTTGGTTCTACCTCTAAAATTACAAGTCAAAGAATTTCTGATAGAAATAGTCTGTGATATTCAGGACCACGGCAGGACGAATATGATAGACTTGCTTTTTGGCACAGCTGACACCACCACATTAACATCTCTTGCTTTACAGATGGTGAAGTGACACAGTAAGTTAAAGAGTTAAATATAGAAGTCATTTATAGTTGAAATAGAAGCAGTATCTAGACAATTTTAGACTCCAACCATGTATTTCTGGGAAAGAAAAAAAAAAAAAAAAAAGAATGCTCCTGCAATTCTGACTTTTACTTCATGTAAATACCTGGTTTTCTTGCCAACAACATTTTTTTTCCTTTATTAACATATATCTTTGTTTCTTGCCAGAGTTACAATGGTAACCAATTATTTTTCCAAGCACTGGTATGGTCACACCCATTATGGAATAATTTTTACATCATGCCTTCTCTTTTATTTAGGTTTGTATAATTTTGTTTGAACTTTACGTTTTTTGTTCTTCCCGTACATCCTTCTTAACTGCAGAAAGTGCCAGAAACTCAGACCACATTGCAAAGAGCCCAGCCAGGGCTAGCTAAAATAACCTGATGTCTCTTTTACAAGAAATCACTGATCCTTTTCAGCCAAAAAAGCATCTGTAATGGCACCACACAGTTAACACATTTAAATTTATCTGACATTACTCCATAGATACAGCAACTACAAGTTCTTTCCTAATTTAAAATTGATTATTTCATCCCCTTGAAATGCAACACACGCAATTTTTTGAACTTGAGAGTTTTTTTTCAAAATACAGCTCCTCCTTCCCCACCCCCCACCCCCCCCAGTTCACTAATGTTTTGAATATTAGTGCCAGAAATTACATGGTAACACACAGAAGTGGGGATGAACTTTGAACACAAGCAGCAGCCTGTCATGATTTAATTTTTAAAAATTAAACTTTGCATTGTACTGCATTTCCCCCACATTATTTAGAAGTACAACCTGAAAAAGAGGCAGCAGGAGCATAATGATTAACTTTTCCTGCTGTCTGCACCTAAAGGGTATTCACAAGCTCAGTATTTCCATGGCTGTGGTAGGGCCTTCACTTCATAACAACCAGCAATCACACACTGAACACAAATATGTCTGACAAACACACATAACAGAAGGCTTATGATTGAGTTTAGCAATTATTGATCTGAGGAGGAAACAGGGTAAGTCTTCAAATTGCACAGCTTTCAAATACAATTCTTATGAAAACTGACAGAAATTCCCAGCTTCTACATCTTCTTATGAGCCTGCCTTTGCACTGCCACTAGAAATGAAAACACCCTTCCCCTCCTAGGTTTGGATACGAACTAACACCAGAAATTTAGGGAAAGCTTCAGGTACAGAAACTGATCCACACAAGGCATGAGTTAGAACAGAAACTGTCTATATTTCACAGCAAATCAGAAATAAGCCCCCCAGATCTGCACGCAGGATATAGGTCCATAGTATGTATTTTCTTATCTTTCCTATTTTATTTCATGAGATACAGCTGCTTCCAAGAGAGCCCTAAAATTTTTGATGTTTTAATAAATCTTCTTTAATCTAACAAGTTCACAAAGAGATTGTAATGAGACCTGATATAAATTTCTGGGTTGTGTTTTGTTTGGTGGGTTTTTTTGTGAGTATTTTTTAATCATCATTATTTTCTCCACTAGGAATGCCACACAACATCTTTATGATGAAAAAAATGTCAAAAGTGGACCCGATACCACAAATCTATGATACCAGTGCTTAGAAGGTACAAATACCAGGTCAGGTAAAGAGGAGAAGAACTGGAAAGCAACGTGTGCCTGGCTATCAAGATAGTGGATGTTTTACCTTGCACTCAAGAGAAATGACAATACACAAACTGCAAATCTCAGCTATGGTGTCACCTCAGGGTACCAGCAACTTGTCCCACTAATCATACTGTTCAGCTAATTGATTGCATGGATCTATTATTTAGTGATTAAACAGTTAAAGTATTTTACCACAGGCATTTTGAAACACTGAAACGAAAAGAAATACAAAAATATTTGTTTTAGCTAGTGAGAGTTGAGTCCAGGTGGTTGCCCTCAAAAGTCAACATCACCATCTGATGTGTAAAACATTCCTAATTATCATAGAGTACACCCCATGCTAATTACTGTGCTTGCCTCAAAATAATGAGCCATGGTAAGCCTCGAGTTCATGACAATAGATTTACATTTAAATGCCATCCAGTTCACTCAGTATCAATATGCTGCTGGTTACCAGACCAAAAGAATGATGAAATTAGGCTCTCCCACAGACAGGGACAGTGACCACGCTTCAGGGAGGCCACAGACTGCTAGAAGGATAACAAAACTAAAGGAACTTTGAGAGATATTCAGGATATAACTGTAGGAGACAGCAGGAAAAAAAAAAAAAAAAAAAAAGACATTACTTAATAGACAGCAGCCAGCTGTGGCTTACAGTAAATCTTAAAAGAAATCTTTGTAGACTCTCCAGGAATATCTCTGTACACCCCCAAAACAATTGCAGGAGATTGTTCCAGAAGTTCACATGGATCATGGTCTGCTACCTAATGAATTCAGGTTCTCTGCTGGTTTTGTAGTCAAAATACGTTTGTCAGTTTCAGTGAAATTATGCCAATTTGTACAAGCTGAGGATTTGGTAAGCCAACACACAAGAGAACTGTAAAAGAAGTATGGTCCCACACATCCTACACTAAGGGAAAAAATACAGAGGTAGATGTCACTCTTGGGGGAGGAGGAAGAGGAGAAACAAATAACATGTACTTG